CCATGGAAAGTCTGGGCATCACATACAGCCACTATCAATCACCATTTGAAAAAAAATTCTAGGAAAATATCAATAGAAATCAGTCAGTGCAACACCCACAATTAATTGTTTGGATTGACAGAGTGAGAAGTTGTTTCAGGAGTAATACTGTGAAATGACTAATTTTCACTGGGTTTAAAAATTTCACTGATTTACCATTTCAGGCATATTCAGTGGGTTTTAAATTCATGGTTTTAACATTTAGATAACATGTTCTATGCTAAATTTTATATATTCACTGTGTTTTAATTTTGCGCATTTTCCAATCAGCGAAATAAGCAAAATTAAAACCCAGTGAATAATTAACCCATTTACAGTACCGTACTTCATATTGTTATACCACTCGTTAGTCATGTGATCATTTGTTCTAGCCATGTGTTTATTTCTGTAACTCTAAGTTTTAGTTTTGTCTTTGTAGATATGTAATCACAATTATTTTCATATACAGCTTAGTCAGTGTTTTTTAACATTTAATAATTTACATACTTATTAGTGTCAGGTCTTTTTGAGCTTGATCAGGTGTCAAGGTTTGGAATTTTAGATGTGAATGTCTCAATTATTGAAAAACTTGGCCAAGCTGGGTTTGAACCACGACTTTAGTATTGGTAATCAGTATCTCCAACTTCCATAAATACAAGACATTTGGTCAGGATAGCTATAATAAAGTAGACGTTTGAACACCTCATCATCATGTAATTGTCGTGATAAGTCATTAACCTCACCTTGCAGCTGTGCTGTTTTTGGCCCTGTGCCGTTTACAAGATGCCAAGTATAAGTGTGACTGTTACACTGGAAACATAGCCACAGTAAATGCATTAATTATTCACCGGGTTTTAACTTTGCTGATAAGTAAAACTCACTTAATTAGATCTCTGTGAACATTTAAAAAACAATAAAATTTCCGTGACAAATTGGGGAAATTAAAACACATTGAATATGTTCAAAACATCAAAATAGTGATGGTTTTACAGTACTTTAGGAATGATTGATTACGCAAGTTTATTTTATGAAGATTCAAAGGATTATGATTACGAAGTTCTTGAAATTAGAAAATGTATTGCATCATGTACTATTCATGTTTCAGGGCCATCACTGAACAATGTAAATACAATCCAACTAATCCAAGATGAAATGTGGTTCACCAATATTGCACTATTACTGTCATTTATGAGATGCCCAATTTTAATACATTTTTTGTAATTTTTATTACACATCTGTCACTGTACAGCCATAAGTTACAGCGTGCCGTAATTTTGCGGTATTTTCATCCTACAATATTATGAATTCCAAATATGAAATGATGGCGTGCGTGAGCATCCTCTAATAATAATAAAAACAAACATGGCAGCCCCAAGGTTTTGATTGGACTCCACACAAAGAAGTTTGCCAAACCTTTTGTTTCTCGGTATTCCTATGTATCCTTGAGAGGAAAATCCTCTCCAAATATTACCTTAATTTTCTACATTATTATACTGTGTGCATTCCTATCGTAAAACTGTTGCAAATATATTTCACACAATGCCTCACTATTGTTATTGATTGAATAATTATTATAGTATGAGACTGTCAATGTTGTTGGTCAAAATCAGTCACATGATCATTTGATAAATATTTATATTGGCCTCTCCTAGTTTATTTCTTACCTCTGTCATCATCTTGTGTGTTACTGGCCTCTAATGTCATAACATTCTGGGCACTTAGATTGTCGCAGATGTTAAAAAGATGGATGACACTTTCCATATGTTTTACCACTGGCAGATAATTTTTGATATTAAAGCCAATGTCCAGTAAAATAATACCATTAAAAACAAGTCATTTACTGTCAAGTCAACGCTACATACATGGAGCTCTGTGCTACATATAACTCCTACCAAAATAGCTTAATGAACCAGCCACTCTGTACACATGCAGTAGTGGGGGAGTATGTTCACATATACTCCATGAAGTATTTGCATTATAGCATTTATAATACAGAAAATATCAACATATACACGCCATGCATGACACAGTCCCTAGTTAATTTAAGATATATAGTTTTGTTTATGGTGACATGTCAGAGATATGGATCCAGAAGCTGATGATCATTAAAATGATTGACATTCAGTCATCTTGTATCTGATCGTCAAATGAGTACTTGTCCATATAGGGAGATATGGCTCTAGAACAGCAATAATTAAAACAAAATGGCCACCAGTCGACCATTTTGAATCAGAACTTGAAACAAATGCATAGTAATTAACAAGTGTCGCATGAAGTGCAATGTCGCTGTAAAACGTGATTGCAATCAGCCAAAAAATGTCAGAGATATGGTGAAAAAACAGCATTCGTGATGAAATGGAATGAAGAAATGCTTGGTTTTGATGATTTTTAAAAATTTAAAACAGCAGTCATTTGGCTATCTTGAATTTGATCGTCAATCTAATATCTGTGCATATGTTTAACAAGTTTGAACATGATCAGTCAAAGCATGTCAGATATTGCTCTGGAACAGCATTTATAAAAACAGAAAGTCTCCTTTTTCTGATCCGGTCTAAAAAACAAATTGACAAGGTCCCATTATGTCGAATGTATGTACCAAGTTTGAACAAAATCCATCCATAAACGACAGAGATCCGGTAAGCCTGAAATGCTGAATTTTGATGATTTTTTAAGCACAAAAATGGCCACCATTTGGCCATTTCGAATTGGATAGTCAAACCAATATATCCATGACATGATACATAATGAATATATAAATTTGAACATAATCAGTCAAAGTTTGTCCAGAGATAAGTCTCCAGATCTGCATTCATTAAAACTCTTAATGTGAACTGAAAAACAAATTGACATGCATCAAGGTTCCATAATGTCCAATGTATGTACCAAGTTTGAACAAAATCCATCTGTAAACAGCCGAGATCCGGTTCCGTAATGCTTGATTTTGATGATTTTTCATAACAAAAATGGCCAATCTTGAATCAAATTGATGTGCATATGTATAATATTATGTATAATGTATGCGTGAATTTTGAATGTAATCAGTCTAGGCATGTCTAATATATAGGTCCGGATGCACACACAGAGGTCAATCTAAAAATCCCCGTTTTTAGTCGGTGTCTGAATGGGCAATAAAAATGAAACAGAGCACCATTGGTATTCTCTCTGCACAAACTCCAAAATGACATGTGGCTAAACAACCTTCCTTCCATCGATCATTCAGCATATACTTCTACAATTTATAACACACATAATGCAAAGTATACACACCTTCATTCACAGATCTGATAAGGTATTTAAATGCAAAAAGTTATAGTTTGGGTGTATTTGAAGACTGAATTTTAGTTTTTTGTCACTATTAAAATGAGAACTTTGTTTAAACTGAAGGGGTCGTCACCCCAGTGTGCACGCGCAGCAATTGAGTCCCAAGTCCGATAACTATGCACGCTAAAAACGCAAAGGCTCATGGGTAGATGTGTGTTTATAAACAACGACACGCTAATATGGCAGACTCCCCCACTTTATATTTGAGCTTAATGACATGACCGAGGACAGGCAGAAAGACAAAGAATATCACATTTTGCACTGTTAACTCACTGTTTTATACGTGATATTTTCTGCGGTTACATATCCATGAATATATCACCTTGCCTGTACTGGTATACAATCATTGAAAAGTTGTAAGTGACTATCACTAGACTTACTTGCACCCACTTTTACAGTGAAGGGCATAAATCTGTGGTCACTATAAATGTTTTCATAAATATACATTTTTATAAATCAAATTATAATTTTAGAATTCAAATTGACAAATCCACAAATTGTATTGTGACATCTTTGTTAATATTAATGAGTTACATGTAGCTCAATATTATCCAATCAGCAAGCGCCTCATGTGGACATCCGCACATTTTGGATGTAGATAGATTTAAATGAAAGCTGATGATCAGCATTTGCAAATTAACAAGCCCTCGCTTTGTGCTTTTCATTGTATTATTGACTTTAGTGCTTTTATACACAAAACTACTGTCTTATACCACAAATACATATAGCCAACATTTATTTTCAAAAAATGATAATGTTCTGACCAAACGCACACACACTCCCTGCTGCCAAATCCAACAAATTTGCTCTATTAAAATAAAGAATGAGTTCCTTTTGCACCCCCACACTTTATCCCAACTCCTCTACCCCCCAAATCAGTTGTACATGTCCCCTCTGGAATAACTATGGGTGTCCTTAGGAGGAACATATACAGTGAAACTGGGGAGCACTAGAGGGTAGGATTAGGGGGTCGGTGTACAAAAGGAACTCTTTCCTAAAATAACAGATGATAAATACAGGATTTATAGTACACCAAATCCAAGACAATGGTCTGGAGATGTTTTATTTTCTCATGTCAACAAACCCATTCTCTACATTTTTATGAATATTCATAAATTTCAATGGCAGTTGAATACGAACAGCTAATTAATGAGCACAGTATGCAATGTCATTTGAAAATGTTCCAATGACCCATTCTTGGGACGGAGGTACGTCACAGAACATGTAGTTAAGACGCGCACCACTGTACATATTTCTATGGGCTCTGTGCGAGCTGCTGTGGAACGCCGGTCAATGAGCTGAAATTGCTAAAGTCGGGAAAACAGCACAAACTCAACTTTGAAGTAATCCTGAGCAACCAAATTTATACAAGTTGCACAGGCAGAGGTAATTTTTTTACACTATTCAGGCAGTCTTAACAACTATCCCAAAATACTGTTATTTGTGAGTTTTCGGTCTTTGTTTTTCACCACGATGGTTGCCAGGCAGTGAAAATATCAGCCCCCCCGAGAATCAAAACCTTGCCTAGAATCTAGATTATATAACAAATGAATAGGCAGATACAAACTAACAATGGACAATCTTTTTTTTCCAAGTATAAAACTCCTGAAACAATGCAATATCGAGACATTTTGCAAGAAAAATACTGGCTAAAATTGTGTGAAAAATTCTGATAAAAAATGGATAAGAAAAATAAAGTCATCATAACTACATAACAAAATTAGTAAATATTCATGTTTCTCAAAAATAATACATGTACTGTATTAATCTCAATGTCCCTCATAGAATAATATAATATGAATTGTATAAAGCTTCCGAAAAAAATAATAGTACAGCAACAAATTTGACAAGTAAAATACTAGCCAACATGTTTCTTTTATAGAATAATTTTAACATAACAGTTTTTACTCAAGCAAAATGAATGAAAACAATATATCTGTTTACTAAACTACATCTACTTGACAGATCTTTGAGAGTATATTAATAACATCTGATTCTCATTATCAGCAGTATAAATGGCTTCATTCTGTCCACTTATTTCTACGTCTAACAAATGTTTTATTCCAGTCAAATTTTACCTTACATCTTGAAAATTGCACTTGCTAGTTACACCCAAATTGTACATGGTTGACAATTCACGGTGATTGATAAGATTTACAAATTTGAAGATGAATATGATCAGATAAAAAATGTTTGAGTTATCATAACCACAAGAAGACAATTTAAGTGAAATTTAACCAATATCTTAATAAAATATATAGAATACATACCAAAATCGAACGTGATGAAAAACTCAAAACTGGTTTATATCCAAGTTTGAAAGAAATGGGATAAAAACAGCATTATTAACCACAAAAAAAAGTTTTTGCTGGAGTAAACAACAAGGACAGCCATTTTTCCCCCTTATATGAATTGACCTTCATATACGATGATATGAACAAGGTAAAATTGAAAAGAATGGGTTTGTGGAGTTGAGAGTAATGGACAAGTCTGGGATTATCTGTTGCCTAGCTACCATGTGCACATAGGGGGATGGAGGTGTCAACTGATGCTGATTCACTTTCAGTCAGCAGAAATATGCAGCAAAAATATTCTCTACGATCAAAAAAATTAGAAGTATTGTTGGATCATCAACTATCCAAGGTACCTGGAAAGAATAACAACAAATCTAACTTTCCGTTTTGAAAATGTTGCAGAGAAATGCTCTACATAATAAGACTATAGTTAAAAACATCAATAAATAATGATGCTAGATTAA